AAACAACTCATGGGGCTGATTACGATGAAAACTAAAACTGCATCATTACATTTTTTCCATTTCTCTAGTCGGAAATCAACCTTTCGGACTATTGGTTCCACTCTCGGTTTCACTAGTGGATCCATTAGGATTTCGATAGTAGTTAGGCACTCATATGTTACCACTGGGTGGTATGTAAATACTTTTTTGCAAAATCCTGCACTGAATTAGGTATTGCACCCATCGATAAAGTTGCTAGTTAGTATCAATTCTTGAGAAGAACCAATAGCGGGCTTTACACAAACGCTCTATCGCGCATCAAACAGATATTAAAAGGTAAAGGGAAAAAGGGACAGCGCGTGCTGTCTTTACCGCGCGCAATCCTGTTCGCTCCTGCAGGCTGATTTTAATTCAAAACGAAATCGTTGCGGTCGGATAGTCCATCCGAGTCTCGAAATCAGATAGGTTTCCGAGCGAGAAGATGAACCTGATTCCTACTATATCTTTCTAATTTGTGAGTTAAGCATTGACTTACAAATAAATGGACGACGGGTCTAATACAAAAACCACGAAAAAAATGTCCCAAGTCAACCTATGTAAACGTAGTGACATGTAAAGGAATATGAAAAAGCTCAAACGTTGAATTTAAATTGTAATGTCATCGTAGTACTGTCTAATTTTGCTTGCTTCGCTGTCAGTCGAACAAACGAAGACTAAAACGTGAATGACGCTCTGTATACGATTTTAACGCCCTATAAGTTCGGACACTTTTTAGCGCGGACCCGACGTCCATATAATTGTAAGTCAATGGAGTTAAGTCAACTATTGTTCCGATTTGAAATGTCAAAAGTTTCCGATCGGCCAGTTGTGAATCGCAATTATGCGCCTCGACTCGGAAAAGACGCAGTTTCCGGTCGGGAGAGGCAATCAAAACCAAGCTGCAGATCACGCGCGACAAAAACTGTGATAACTGTGTAAAGGGGGCCAGGCTAATGTCCCGCAAATTGCAGGAAATCACTTATTTTGCTACATGCTACAAAGTTTAAGACAATGTTATTTAATTACCTCTATGAAATGACATTCTACAATATTAGAGACTTCATTTAAAATTGACATGGTACATTATTTATGATCTTTGTAATTTTTGACATTGTGTTCATTTTAGCATTGAGACTGATATTACTTTATTGGACGGCATGAATACAATATACAAATTATTGTATGACTGTGTTTTTAAAAAAATATATGAAACTTTGTTTAATACAATGCGGATCACAGTGATTCTATATACATATATATAAACTTTTTGCTCTCTCTCTCTCTCTCTCTCTCTCTCTCTCTCTCTCTCTCTCTCTCTCTCTCTCTCTATCTTTCTTCAAATTTATCATGAGCTTTTCGGTGAAAGAACACATCGTGATGAAACTTGCACGTCGAAGGTTCACTACCCTCCGAAAACGCGTGAAATTATTAACCCATATTTGGCCAGTGTGGCGGTCTATGGCCTAAAACCCTAGCCTGAGACGAGACCCGTGTCCAACAGTGGGACGTATAAATGGTTTCATGATGGTGCTAACTGATGATGAAACTTTATATTGGGTACTGTTGTTTAAATTTTATTAAGTTTTTTGGTTAGACTTGATTGTCCCAAACGGAATACCTAAAAGCTTTCTCCCTTTACTTTTCCATTCATTACTGGCAGAAGTCTCTCCAATGTCTTGTAAATTTCGTTAAATTCATCTCCTCATTTCATTTCTCAACCATAACTAAACTACCTAAACATTACGATTAATTTTATAAAGCTTTGTAATAACACTAGGTAATAGTGACTAAATAAAATAAAATAAAAAAAATAAAAAAAAGAGTGTGTCTTTTTTTATCAACCGACTTCAAAAAAGAAGACTCTCTCAAATTCGAGTTATTTGTTACGCAACTCCGATGTGAACCAATTTCGTTGATTCTTTTTTCTTGGAAAGTGGGTAGGTACCTCTGGTCACATTCAAATTTGAAAAAAAATAATTTGTGATTTGTGATGTAAAAATGGTTTATTGGATTTCACCCACTTTCCGGTAACCAATTTCAATAAAAGTTGGCAATAGATGTAATTCCACAAACTTTTGAGGTTGGTTTTTTAAGTTGAAGGAAAGATTCTCAGTCGTTACGTACTGAAACAGCAACTGGACAAATTAAGGTTAATATAGGTACCTAGCTCAGGAAACAATATCAGTAAATAAGTAGAATAATTTCTAAATAGTCGCAATTAATTTTCCTCTTATGTATATTGTCAAAAACGATAGATACATTCTGTGTAAATAACATAGATATTTAGGAATGAAACTATTTTTCCGGATTTAAATCGCGTATATTTGTTTTTTCAAACAAACCGACGTTTCGGGCCCTTTACAGGTCCCATGGTCACGGTTGACTGAGGTGGTACAGTCTTCAACCAGTTATGTCTAATATTGATGCATTGACGGTATAGCGATGGGCTCCCCGGTATCTCCCGTTGTTGCCGATATTTTCATGGAAGACTTCGAGGAGCGAGTTTTACCCATGGCCCCAGCTAGGCCGAAGATTTTCAAACGGTACGTTGATGATACTTTCACAATATTACCTAAAGATAGCATACCTTCTTTCTTGGACCATCTTAATTCTTTTAGTACTAAGATCCAATTTACTATGGAACAAGAGAATTGTGGTACTTTAGCTTTCTTAGATGTTTTAATTAAAAGAAATCCTAATAACACCTTAGGCCATACTGTATTTCGAAAGAAAACCCATACAGATAGGTACCTCAATGGTAATTCCCATCACCATCCTAGCCAGTTAGCTACCGTGGGCAAATCTTTGTTTCAGAGAGCATATGGTGTCTGCGACAGTAATCATCTGGCGGGGGAACTTCAGCATATAAAGCAAGTCCTACATGCGAATAAGTTGAGGATTCCACGCCAATGCCGCAGACCCCGTGTGAAACCACCAACAGTCGAGCGAAGACCTGCCATCTTACCTTACGTGAGAGGTGTTACAGACAAGATCGGAAGAGTCCTCAGGCGCGCATCTATCAAGACCTATTTCAAGCCCCTGAGGAAGATTTCTCAGTACCTGAGACCCGTGAAATGTAACATCCCCTTACAGGATGCAGGAGTTTACAAGCTTGACTGTGAGTGCGGTCTCTCTTATATTGGACAAACAAAGCGAAGTATTTGTACCCGCGTCAAAGAACATATAGCTGATGTCAAACACCGTCGCGCAAACAAGTCTGCAGTCTGCGAGCATGTCATGGATAAACCTACACATTCAATGAAGTTTGACAAACCCCAGGTCCTTGCAAAAGAAGTCCGTTATCTGCCCAGGATGCTGCGAGAGGCCATTGAAATTAAAAAACATCCTAATTTCAACAGGGAAGATGGTTTCTCCGTACCACCAGTTTGGGATCCAGTATTTCCTCTAATGAAAAATCCCAAACAGACATAAGACTGCAGTACTAATTAATATGTTTTAATTTAATCTAATTTCTATTAATAATTAATAATAAATTAAACTTAATAAACAAATTCATTCAATAAAATAATTTGTAAAACTTAATGTAGCGTAAATTGGAATGTTTTCTTTGTAAAATTAAAAATAAGGTATTTAATTAATAACTATTGTAACTATAGTGAAAAAATAGGGTGGTTTGCATCAATATTAGACATAACTGGTTGAAGACTGTACCACCTCAGTCAACCGTGACCATGGGACCTGTAAAGGGCCCGAAACGTCGGTTTGTTTGAAAAAACAAATATACGCGATTTAAATCCGGAAAAATAGTTTCATTCCTATGTATAACAATCGCGAAAACCTAAGAACTCGATAACATAGATATTGTTATAATAAAATAAGATTTTGTTCTACGTGACGAAATTTTAGCATAAAACTTCTACAATTTGTAGTCTTTTTTTATAAAAATATATGAAAAAGTATGATTGTGATTAGACTCATAATTTTATCAGTAATATCTATGATTGCACTAGTATTCCAGATAATGCTGGTACAAAACTGGCAGAATAATTACAGTGTAATAATTCATTGTGCCTCGTACATTGCATGCGAATTATAATTCTCGATATACGAGATTTCTTGAATATCTGGTAATCTTGGTACGTATCATAAGTCCGTCTATTATGGATTATGGAGATAATAGAAGTAAAGCTTTCAATTTTTCGAATATTTTCGCCGTAATCCCTCTATTGGTCAATTTAAATACTAGTTATGAGCTATGTTTGCTTGTTATGTGTATTACTAAACTAACAGATGTCGTTACTTAACACTTCATATTAATTAACTTATTTCTCAATAGGTGGCGCTTATATGAATTTCTTCAAAGAGTTTTTTATAGTACCTACCAGTAAATGAGTGCTTAGAAAATAAAATAAAATTTTAATAAATAATTTTCCAAGTTATTGTTCGAAACTACTACAAATTAACTAATTATTCTAAAATAATAAAATTGATAAGGACTAAACTGAAGCTGCTGTACTATAAGGTACCTGAAACTGTTTGAGTTACCATAATCAAAATAAAGTTACTACAATTAAGATAAATATTGTAATAAAAAATAATTTTAAAATTCTGTTTAATGATTTCATTCTGAAACCATCGTAATAGCAAATAAAAATAATGTCAAAGTAAAAATAATATTACACAAAAAGTGTGTTTAGCCTCTAATAACAAGTTTTATTTAATGCGCTGGCTGAATTTGAAAATAGAAAAGGAAAATGCTTAAAAAATAAAAATGAAAGCGCGGGAATTTCGGAAACCAATATTTCACTGTCCATGAAAAACATTGATTTTTATGTGTGAAAACTGAATATGTTTCAAGTAAGTATTTCTCCAAACGCTTTACTATTCGGTATTAGAATAGTATAGAAAGTAGCGAATATTTTCGTAAGAAAACTTGGCGTTGTGACAGCAACACCATTGCGAGTAGTAGTACGTATTTATACACATGTAGGTCAATGAAAAAAATGGCTTAGCAGCTCATATGTACCGTGGCAAGGAATAATTTTTAATTTAAATGGCCTTCAGTGATTTATGTCACATAAGTAATGCGTATAAAACCGTCGAAAATGAGCCTGACCAGGTAAGCGTCGAAGTGTTGTGTAAACTTTACTTGTGCCATTTTCTCAATGTTGTAAATGTCCAAATCTAGCTGTCAGTCTGACCCAAAATCCGGGAAAATGGTCATAATAACAGTGAAAAGTGCATGGTTTTGTGTGTTATCATGTTTCTTGACGATGAAAAGTGCTTAGAAACTGTGGTATGTGGTAACTTCTTCAGTAACGTATCTATACAATGTAGTTGAGGTGAATGATGACATCTGAAGAATGCACAATATTTTTAGAATTTTGTAGATAGTACGTTGGAGGACAATATAACAGGGTATAGATGAGTGTAGTGGCCGTGTTAGTCAACATTTGTAACACCTTGCCTTTATTGGCACTTAGTAGAATCTAGCAAGATTCTCATTGGGCTGTTGGTATTTGAGCCATTCTATAATGCTAAAGGTTGTACTTTCTCTATATTACTACCTATCTAAACGTCCTTCATTTGTAATAAGACTTGCTACAAAAACAAAACCTTACTTAGTTGTATTAAAATACAATTTATAGACCACATTTGTATGTAACATAAAAATCTTTTTTACACTTGTTCAATTTTGGTAAGATCAGTGTCAGTGTACTTTTAACTATATAAAACTCTTTAAGAGGCTCATTTTAAACACTAAGCAAAGGAAAAGGAAGAAGAAAGAAAAGAAAAAATGTTTATTTGTCCATTTCCTCTTAGATTTTGATAAATATAAGATGACAATTAACATCTAAACATTGAGATTCAAAGTGTTTTTCACTCACAAACCTGTTTATGCATGCAAAACAACCTAATTATAATATTCAGTAGATAACTAAGAATAGAGGAACACATCTATAATATAAATAACAAAAATAAGATACAATTGAAACAAATAAAAATGAAGCAAGTGGGAGATAATAGGGCTTGTTGTCTGGTATATTAGCATAGTCATACAGAAGGGGATATTGACAGATTTAGATAACCGCAATGTCCAAATCCATCCATTTCAGCTGCAGTAACTATTTTGATATCGTAATTATTGAAATGAAATTAAACTAAAATAGTTTATTTGCATGCAAACTCGGTATTGGTGATGGTAGAAGTGCATAACACTTGGTCTGTTATGGTTTGTGTGATTAAGCATACAAAATGTTACATGACATATCCTGACTACCATTTACGCAGCCAAAATTGGGCCGCAGTTATAAAGGGTTGTTTGTAAAATACTTACAACCTCGCAGAATTGTATTACTAACTTTATGAATAACAACTTTGGCTTCTCGACTTTTATTAATTCATCACATTTTACTTTTAAATCGGCTCTAAATGGTGATAACTTTGTGCGGTTGTAGGAACCCACCACCAAAATAATTTTCATTAATGATAACATTGGGAAGGTGTTGCTAAGAATACAGATCAAAAAAGTGTCAAATAGTATAACAATAACTTTAAAGTTTGTGTTTGATAAGTTTATTATGTTTTCTGAAAACTCATGGAATAGAAGTTGTTGTTTATGATGTTGGCAATATATTCCTGCAAAGTTGTTAATGTTTTACCAAAAACCCTGTATACCAAATTGCCTAGGTTTCAATTTTCATATCCAATTATTATTAATAAAATTTAATTTATTACATAAGAGAACTACACCAGAAAATTTTATAAATTATTATGGGAAAAGAAAAAAGAAAAGTTAGAAATAGACAAATAAGGTTCGAAATTGCAGGACCATTATATCTATAAACGGCCATAATAAAAGTTATTGCTTATGGTTTAGAGCCTTAAACCTAGACCGGTGGGAGCTAAGCTGCCATGATCTAGGTGTTGTTAGATAGTTCTGAACATAGTTGTTGCGTGGATTTTTTGACATCAGCAGATGCTGGTTTTATCTATTAAAAAAAAAGACATAAAAATGTACATCCTTACTGAACAAAGCTATTTATTGTCTTTGGAATTGCAATAAAAGATTGTTTCAATGATTTTACAACATTTTTAATAAAATAATCAATCTGCATAAAAACAACTGCCTAGCTTAACTGCAATGGAATATTCTCAGTTCAGTAAACAACAGCTGACCTGCTTTTTTGGCTTGCAGTCTGTTTCTGAAAGGTTTGTAAATGATTTCAGGGTTAGAAGGTACCCTGTCATGCACGAGTCGAACATCCGCAATGAATATCAGTATCAATCAATGTTGAGGTTGATGCGGATGCAGATATTTTAATTTGATATGCTGTTGCAACAACCCTGCGGTTATAAAAGCGTAAAATATTATAATATTTTGTAGTCGAACAAGCAATAAAGGTCACACAATTTTGTTGCCACAGTAACAAAAGTATCAAAACATAAATATAGAACTAATTATTATAACATAACTTGACTTTATTTATGTAAACTTCATAATACAATAAGATTGATATAGCAAACATATGCATACGCATACTTAATCTTTAGACACTTATAACAATTTAACAATGATAATTTGTGTTGTTTGAATTGGATCATATTGACTCAATTTCAAATGTGCAACTGTGTAATATCCTTGAAAACAGTGTGTACACTGAAACTATGTTAGAAAAAGAAACTACATTGTGCATAAGATTTGTATATGTTTGTCGACGCTTGAAAAGGGAAACAGGATAAGCAACACTTTTGGGTCATATTGAGTTATGTACTGTTGGAATCAGAAACATTAGCTGATTCAAACAGTATATATAACTCAATATGACCAAAAGTGTCGCTTATCCCATTACTACCTACATTTAATTCGCGCCACCACGCATTTTCAGTATTAAGTGCCCTAAGCTTGTGTTTTGACAATGTTTGATTAATCAAAAACTATTACGCAATTTTGAAACTAGATGAATACTAAACGTCTTGTCCATAAGTCCGGGAGTATATATGTTAAAGTGGTAAATACAGGGAGACATATTAACCCTTAGCAAAAAGCACCGCTCAAGACATTCAATGTCACATGTGTGTGTGTCAATGTGACATGGAATTTTTAAGGAGTGAAAAGACAGATTTATTTGTAGAATAATAACAAATTCGCAAGGCTATATTATTTACATCATAAACAACAAATTTTGTTCCATGATGATTCTTATTAAAAGCTGTTCAGTTTGGTACTATCAAGTGTAAAAGAAAATGAATAAATTTTTGTATAGACCATGGCATGAGTATATAGGAGTATTGTATTGCTTCACGCACGCGCACGCGCCCGCACACGCACAGGCACAGACACACACACACAGACAGACACACACACTTACATCTTTATATCTATTGCGTGTCGTTTATACATTGCGTAGTGTCTAGTAGCAACTTGTAGCTACAATAAATAGGTCAAATCATCACTCCACTGACTAGCTTACTTAAAACGTCAACAACATAAAAATTCAATTGTTTCAGTCGGAACGCATTATGGAAGAAAACTCAATGGTCCGGGATCTCATCACGAAGATCCTCGATGAGACTGGACCAGCAGAAGGGAGCAGGTAAGTTGCATATTCCTATCATAACTTAACATGTGTTACATGTCTATTTATTTATTAAGCTTTTTAAGCTGAGTTATAAATTCTTTTTACATTACAATTTTATGTTGCATATTAAATTTTTGCGTTATATCTCTTAACTCAGCGTGCCTCTTGGCATAGGCCTCCTCCAGAATACCAGTGCGCTCTACTATCAAGAGCTACTCTTCTTGAACATGGGCCTGCAGTTAGCTTCAGCTCATCCTCCCATCTTTGATGTTGACGCCCTATATTACGTTTTCCATCACGTGGATACTAATTGGTCACTACTTTGCTACATTTTTCCGGCCCTCGCAACAGATTCCCAGTCCATCTCCGTTTTGTCTGATCTACCTTTGAAAGCACTTCGATTACCTTGGTTCGTCTCCTAATACTGTCACTCCTGACTTTTTGAATTGAATTTAAACACCATACACATACAGGCCTGTTTAATATCTGTTGATCTTTTTGTGGGTCCTTGAGTTAGAATGTACGGTCTTGCGTAATTCAAGGGCTGCTGCTACCGCATTTACTAGAGAGCTCGTTTTGTAGGGTACTGATAACAAACTATTATAAATATCAGAAATTATCGTCTCTCATCTTCTATTGACTTTAACGAACGATGAACTTAAGCTATACAATTTAACATTTTCGTTATAGTACCAAATTTCCTTTACTTAGTATTCAAGTTATATGAGATTGTATCCTTAATTTGTGGATGAGATTACCAGACAATTTTAATCACAATAGGTAATTTCCTGTACTGGTAGTAAAAAAAATTAGACGAACTAAATTAAATATCGGGGACTACGTGAACACTCAGACCAGAACCTGTACTCTCGTTCTTTGTCTGACATACGTTCGAAACAATTACTGTGAAATAAGTAATATTCGACCATTCGACCTAATTAAAAGCCGCTTGAAGCAAATGTAGCTACATACTTTTCATTGTCTTTTAAATTAGTCGACTAGTACTTGTTTCGGATGGATGAAGTGATGGTACGAACAAGTCGTGTGCCTGATGGTAAACGACACGTCTGTCCATAACCGTTGCAGTGCCACTCAGAGCTTTGATTCGCAAACTTCTGAGGTGCACTACCTCTGCGCCCATCACTCTGAGACATAAGTTGAAAAGTCCCATGTGCCTGTAATTTCGCCAGCACTGGTATTAAAAGAAGAGTAGACCTTAACCCTAGCCCTACCCTTATGTAGGTTACATACAAAAATACTTCTTTTAATTGGTTCTCCCGCTACCTGAATTTGAGACCCCCTTATCTAGCGCCCAGCATATTGTCCGAGGTAATCCAAAGGCTACCTTTATACCCTAGCTCCTTTTTAAATCTTGTTGTTAATAGGGCCTGTAACACTTGGGTGTCAATTTCGACCTTGTAATCTCAATCTCTGCGGATTATTCCGCTCTATCCTGTCGCTTCGTAGTGAAAGGCAGGACATCACATACAGTTTTAGCCTTCTTCAGCAATGGGTTACCTTGCACAACATTGAACTCCCCAACCTACCATATATTCCTTAATATTACAATATCAAACGTAGCATACCTATTATGATATAGAGTTTGTTACAAAATTGACATACTGGAAATTCCCCTCTTTTTATTAGATGATAGAACTTATTTAAGGGAATGTGGCCAGCACGAAGTCTAAACGTCAAGACCAATGTAAATCTAGAAAGTGTGTTGTGTGGTTTTTGCTGTGGACGCTCTTGGATAATCACTGCAGAAATTCACTCCGCATTTCCATATTTAGGTTTCTCTGGGAAGTATGTGCACCGGTTTCTTGCATTGCGCTCCAATTTTGTACGAGTAGAATTGTTCCCCACATGAAAATTATTACAACATATATATAATTATATAGTACATGCAAATACTATTTGGATTTCAGCTCTGTACAACCACAGGAAAAAGCGATAAACACAATATCAAACCAATTCCCCAAAAATGACACTGGGACATTTGTACCACCCAACATAAACTACCCCAACAACATGTACAATTTTCAAAACAACCAGAATGGCTTTAACTTCAACATTCGAAATGGTTTTGGGAATGGATACGTCAATTATAACGACAGCGATGTTGGATTACTCGGAGTTGATGCTGTGGAACCTGCAACAGATGTCACTCCAGAACAGTTGAACTTACTAAGACTGGCAGCACAGGAGATTGGAGGCGCTCAATTCACGAACCCAAATAAATTTGATGAGAAATTCTACAATTTCTTCGAGCCGAGCCAAAGAAATTCTCTACCAGAAGCCAATATGTTCAACATGAATAATTACAACCGGCCAAACAGTCTGAACTTGGACGTAAACTTTACGAATTATGAAAACCCCTTCAATAACGTGCAGCGATTTCCCAACAAATTCGATAATACGTTTGGGAAAGACCAGAGTCAGGATCCGTCAGAATTATTGGTGTATTTGAATCAGTTGAACATGAGTTTGGATAGACGGGATGAAATGCCTAACAATATGGACTATAAAATGCCTATGGAAGTAAACGGGCATTACCAAAACGAAGAGTTCAACAAAATGCAAGAGCAGAAGATGTTCTTGAACAGGAATTTCCAAGTTCCTCCTAACAAAAATTACAATGGAGAAAACTTCTATCTAAACGACATGATGACGCAAGTGAACGATCGTCACATGAACCAGAATTACGATTTCTCGAATCAGACGCCAGGATCGGGTCCTAATTCGATGAATTTTAAACAGAACGGGTTTCATCAGAATGACTTTATGCGCCGTGATATGAATCAGATGCGGGAGAATTTTCAACCTAATGGCACTATGAACGAGCAGCGAAATTACGATAGCGGCGGTCGGGATAACATGCAGCAAGCGGCTCTAATGAGACAGAATCAGGCGGAGTTAGCAAGGCAGATGAGTTTGCTTATGCGAAATCGCCCGCCACCGAACCAACTCAACGTCGACGTGTCGTTTTTACATGAGAACACTCCCTTCAATCTCGGTGAGTTTAACATTGTACCAAATATATTCCACCTCATACATATTCCAATGACAGTGGAGCTATCTCCAAAGTTGGCCTGTTTCACATAGATCCCATATCATAACTCGTGAGGCTTATTTACAATAGAGTTGCAACGAATATTCGGTTACTATTCGGCTTATTCGGCCGAATACCTAAAACCACGAGGTAGAAATAAGTAAAGCAGTAAATTATCATGTAACTGTTTAATAATTAATTAATTTTAATAATTAATTAATAATTTATACGTGTAAGTTCGCGAAAGCGTAATTTGCTTCTTATCAAAGAAAATGTAACATAACTAAGTAATTTTTCTAAGAGATCAGAAAAGAAAAATAATAATAATAACGCACACACTCAACATAGTCCCGCACTAGGGAAACCCTGTATCGCGGCTTTCCATGGACACACACATAGACAACCTCAAATTACACCCAAACTCACGAGAGAAATAAATATAGGCGATACAAATATTTCTCCCGGCCCGAGAATCGAACCTGGGACCTCTGCATGGAAGGCACGGTAACCGTTCGGCCACAGAGACAGTTGAAAAAAATAACACATCAAATGAAATGTACGTATGTATTATGTACTTTACTAATGACTAAATAAAAGCTAACAAAATGAAGTACTTATTACTTATTATTTTATGAAAGTTAGTTAAACTGAAGTGCAATAAACAATTAGTTTATTCAATAAGTCATAAATTTTAATTAGAACTTGTAAATTAAAATACTTTTCTGTTTCGTTTTGCAAAATCATAACTAAAGTTAATAAGCGGTATTGATCGTGCCAATTATCGTATGTGTTTTAATCAGATCGAATAATATGTCCGAATGTACGGCTGTTCGGCCAATTCTTGACCGAATATACTATTCGTTGCCACACTAATTTGCAACAATGTAATTGTATGTGCTGTGGTGCAATGTAACATTTTATCATTCAATTTAAATGTTTCTCCGAATCATGGTTATGCGTAAGATCTGACGTGAATTATTAGCAATGTCATTTTTGTATAAAAATACGTTTTATAAGTATGTGTACCTACTTAATCATAATTAACTTCGTATTTTTCATTGTGACCTTGGATTATATCGTTGTAAGTTTGGTATATCTTATGGTATAATGGTGTCAATCAATTCACTGCTAGTCGACATTCGACCTCTTGGTTATGAATTTAAAATAGACGCCATTGTAAAACGGAAACGTTTTACTAAATAATAAATGACATAGTATACGAGCAATATATAATAATAATAATAGTTAGCCTATATAGTGTCACTGCTGGGTACAGGGCATGGAAAACAAGTTTATGGTAAATAACAAGTGAAAAACTCTGAAGTGCGCGCTGTTTATAGCTAAACAACAGTATTTTTTTATAAACTATGCCTCTATGCTCTATGGTTTTCTTGAAAGTAAAAAACGTATGTGAATTAATTTTGTCATTGCGGAATTATTAGACTTTCTCTCAGTAAAATTGTGTTTATATCAACACCAAATCTACTACAGTCCACTAATAGAAGAATACAACACATTCGAACCCACGACCCTCTGCTTGAGAGGCGGTAAGTTTGGTTACCACGGCTTTTTCACCAAACTAGCAAATTTTAATAATAATATTGGATAATGAATTACTTAATTTCCTTGCAGGCCTGGGTGCGTTACTAGGGCCAAGTCCACCTGTACCACCCCCAGTTTTGCCATCTCCCATGTTGGATATGCCGTTACTAGCGCCTTTCTACGCTATGAGAAACATGAGGTGAGTTTACATACTAACTTAATCTGACCATCGAAAACCGCTTAATTCGAAAGTCTAAACATTTCGAAACCCATTCGTTGTGTTTCTGTTTATGAAGTTCCGTTTATGGTTTTAGAAAATTGTTTTTTTTTAGATAAACATCGGCTCTGTAGTTTTTTGTAACCATGTTTAGTTTTTACAGTATAAATTCTTTATTATGCTAAGAAAACACTTTAAAAATACATATTACAAAGTACATATTACAAAGTACATATACAACGGTGAGCTTATCTCCAGCAGAAATCTCTTCCAGTGAATATAAATTCTCCTAGCGGTGATATAGAAAATTCAATCAGTCAACATGCATGTTCTTTGACTCTGAAAAACATGTGATAATCATCACCTAACGCGTGTACATGGAAGTACACTCGTGCACATATTTAGAGGAATTCTCAAAAAAAGTTAAATTTTCATAACAATAGCGGACTTTACACAGGTACTGTATCGCGCGTGGTACGACAATGGCGTTGGAAGGAAAAAAGTTTCACGCGGTCTATCTTGCGCTATTAGCCTTTACACAAACGCTCTTTTCGTTGTAACATAAACGAACACGAACACGAGCAATCGCGCGCTAAAGAACTATAGCTTAAAAAATTTCAAAAAGGTAAACGTTAACGATTGCGCGTCCAGGCTTTCCCGCGCGCAATCCTGTACGCTCCTGATCACGCGTGGTAGAGTGACGTTTTCACAAGGATCACTGGCCGCGCTGACTTCTTTTTTGAATTAATACAAAGATCGAACACTCAGAAAAAATCCTTCAATCCGGTCGATTCGAACCGACGTCTTCTAAGCATACCGTGCCAGACGCTATACCAACTAAGCCACGGAACGAAACAGCGGACCTCACGAATTTTTGCATGTGTTTGTTGTTGTGTCTTTGTATTTGGTTTTTTCAACGACTTTTTAGCCGTAGCGCCATCTATGACAAATCTTAAATATTTCATTACCCAGTTAGATACCTTTACAGCTACCAGCCCTGGCTAGAGATGTCGCTATTCATTGTATTTAAATTTTTATAGAATTGATTTTTTTTTTGTGAAATTACTCCACTAGTTTGTTATAATTATTAATACAAAGATCGAACACTGAAAAAAAAAATCCTCCGATCCGACCGGATTCGAAACGACGTCTTCTACCTTCTTCTTATTCTTTTTTGAAATTGAATATTTTGGTATATGTATATCCATTGTGGCGCTGATGGCGTTTCAGCCGCGCCAGTAGTAATTATTATACAACATTTAGAAGCGCACTTGCAGCGCTATAGTCGTAACACGCACGCGCCATTTTTGCAATCACAATCCTGCATTCGGAAGAAAGAAAGACACAAGCAGCAAATTCTAAATTCCAACATTATTCCAATATAAAGAATAGTTAAAATACATATATACAGGGTGTAACCGCAAGGTGTAGTCATATTAAAGGAGCCAAACCTATACTTGATCTAGACCCTCTGTGCAAAATATCAAATAAAAATAAGTGACTTTTAATGTTGATATAACTTTAATTATGTTTGTATAAATAGTGATTGTCCGAAACAACCACTGCGTCACAACTCTATTGCTAGTTACGTTACTACGACTTCACAAATTCATTAATGAAACCTGGGCGGCCGCAAGCGGGGCGAAAGAACAGCTGACTACAATTGAAATGCCACTGTAAAAACATGATTTGAATATGTTGATAACACGTTAATATTAAGTAACAAAATCTTTAAATACCTAGAAAAATCGAATTATTTCTAACAATATTATTTTATGCCATACCTAGGTACGTACTTATTTACATACAATTTAAAGGATATTTATTTACTTATTAAGCCCGTAGTTACGCACGCCTTCATCGTATACACATTCTACATAATTTTGTATTAATACATTTATTTACGACAATTTTACAATAGTGGATACTTTTTTAATTGGTACTTACCTACTGTGCAATTCATACACGTTTTAATGAATTTCCTACGAATTGTAATTCACTGTTGTACAATGTACGAAATATTGACTTGTTTACGATAATTTTGAATAATAAGTACAATCACTACACGCACTGCTGGCACATTTCACACATTTACAGGTAAGGTTCAAAATGCCGACCTCCATGCAATATGCATATTTCCGTGCGTCGGTACAGAGACTGCTCTACTCTTTGAAGCATCTGCCGAGTGATTTGACTAAACGCCATTTCGATCCGCTGCCTCATTTCTTCTGCGCTTTCACAGGACTCCGCATAAACAATATTTTTATATGACCCCACAAAAAAAATCGACCGGTGTCAAGTCTGGGGCCACGCTGGCCAGGGTACAGGACCTCCCCGCCCAATCCACTGCGGGAGACGGTCGTTCAGATGGGAACGTACATTTCGAGCAAAATGTGCGGGTGCTCCATCGTGCTAGAAAGTCATCCCGTGTTCCATCACGAGTCTCACGTATTGTGTCACTGGCAGGGCCATCAGAACGTCATCCAAGTCTTCTGTTAGGAATCTTAAATAATTGGCCCCATTCAGACTTGCCGGCAAAAACACTGGACCGATGACGGCACAACCTATTATACCAGCCCACACGTTAATCCGCCACTGGTGTTGAAAATTTGATTCCCTTGATACGCGGGGATTCAAATGAGTCCAAAAATGTTCATTATGCATATTGATAATGCCCGCACGCGTAAATGACGCCTCGTCTGTCCACAGTACCGACGAAGCGAAGTCGGGAGACCTCCCAACCTGGTCGCGGTAGGTACCAGCGGCAAAATGCCAAACGTAGATCATAGTCCGCTTGTAACAGCTCCTGCGTTCTTTGAAAATGGTATGGGTGCTGGCCATCATCCCGTAGCACACGCCACACACTCATATGGTTCACACCACCAAAGGCTGCCGCAGCACGACGAGTACTTGTCTTTGGATTGCCGAGAAAATGTTCCAAAACATCTGCCTCGAATTCTGGGTCTCGTGAACTCGGCCGGCCTTCAGAACTGGAACCACGGAACGATCCACTATTATGAAGTCTCATAACCATCTTCCTGAAGCATTCCACAGCAGGAAATGGTCGACGTCGATTTTCTGGGACGCCATCAATAAACTTTGCCCAATAAATTTGGCGAGGCCTGGCGCAAGCTCCCATCGGCTGCGCCTACGCACAACATCATCTCTTAGTAATCACTATTGCTTAAGCGTGACATAGTAAACACAAAAACAAGACACAAACAAAACGATGACACCTATTTAGTCCTCACAACGCAAACGGCAATTACAGACTGTTACAAAAAATTAAAAAATAGCACCTCTGCCTCAGCGGCGGCACATCAAAGGACGCCGACTGAAACGCAAATTTTGGAATATAGGGTAACGTTTTCATAATGTACCTACAGGGTGAAATTAAAATTATTACCATCCTTTTGAAATAAGACCCTTCTCCTGATACAAATTACATCATTACATACACATTAAACGAATACCTATATCCTACGTCTACGACCTTCAACGTTGCACTGCATACGCCTTTGTTTGTAAACAAGCTCTGACCATCACCCGTACCACTTCCACATAATGCAAGAACTGACTGAGTGATTACGGATATACTGCACTAAGGAGGCAGTCACCCATCGGAAACTCACGACGTCCGAAACGAAAGCCTAACACACTAACCACTACACCATGGAGGCAGTCGACTATAGGAATCAAATCCACGACCTCCGAAAACAAAGCCTAACACTAACCACTACACCATGGAGGCAGTCGACTATGGGAATCAAATCCACAACCGCCGAAACGAAAGCCTAACACTCTAACCACTACACCATAGAGGCAGTCGACTATGGGAATCAAATCCACGACTTCCGAAAAGAAAGCCTAACGCTCTAACCACTAGACTATGGAGGCAGTCGACTATGGGAATCAAATCTACGACATCCGCAAAGAAAACCTAACACTCTAACAACTACCCCATAGAGCCAGTCAACTATGAGAATCGAATCCACGACCTCCGAAACGAGTCTAACATTAACCACTAATCCACATCACCATGTATAAAATCAAATGCTGGCGGCGAAAATCAAAGGTGATATTTTTGCCGCCAAAGTTGCCGCCAAAGGCTTGCGACTTCGCTACGATTACGTATCGCGTACGCAAGGCGACTAATCTTGATACTTTGTTTATTTAGGTAAGATTTTTTATGGTTTTACACTATTGCTAATTTAAACTATTCTAAAATATTTCTTTAGATGAGTAGATATTATTAGGAAGTAAGAACCTTAATAGGTTCAACGGATATTAATTATTTCAATTTCACCATGTAATAAACCCATACCCAGAAAGTTGTCGTGTGTAGATAAGTCAAATTAAGCGTAAGCCTGTTGTTAGAAACGTGCGCTCAGCAATAGACGTATGTAAGTTAGTAAAGTACTATTTTTTGCACAAGGTTTAGTCCACTGCACTTGCATAGTAAGTACTGGTTGGAAACTTGACATTCTCGCATCTTTGAAGATTTCGGCAATTATCTCCGAAATCCAAGTTTTCTCACGATATTTTCATTTCCAAGCAAGTGATGAAAATTTATTTTATTTTTATTTTTTATTTTTTATTTATGGCACAATGTACAGACATCAGATACAGAAAGTGAGGAAAATAAAAACACTTAAAAATTAATACAACAGGCATATCTGTGCCCAATTATTACTGTGCTCAACATTCATACTTAAACAGACACTAAATCAATCATAAAAAAAAATTAAATTAAAATTACAATAATTAATTCGTGGTCAACGATCAAAACTAATTTCTTGACGTTTACCGACCTTCAGGTTGCACCTTTACGATGAAAGTGTCCCAATACAAAATTTCAACTTTTTGGGAATAAAAAAGAAAATAAGATTTCAAGTTTTTTCATATTTTCATATTATTTTATTTATTACCTACTCTTGAAGTACTAAAGGTGATGGCCTTATTAGTCTTTGAAAATAATGAGGAAAAATGGAACTTTACAACTGAAAATTGTTTCTGATCATTTTAATGTTCAACAATTTAAAAACATAATTTACAAAAACTAGTCGCCAATAGGTCTTTTTTTTAACGATTTTTTGTTATCATTTAACGTATTAAGAATTAAGTCTTTTTAATGTTCATCAGCTAAGCAAGATGTCATAACCCTTGATATTGTTTTGTGGTCCCTGTTTCACAATTAAAAAAGAAGAAAGTCCACGAAACAAAAAAGTAAGTCCCTTTAAAAAGTAAGTTACTAAAAAAATTTTTTTTTTTTAAATATTAAGCGACGGGTCGAACAAGTCGTGTACCCGGTGGAAAGCGTCACGCCTGTCCATAACAGTAGCACTGCCGCTCGAAGGCTACTGCTACGGCGTCCATCTCTCTGAGACATAGTTGACAAGTCCCATGTGCCTGTAATTTCACCAGCACCCTTACCCTTCAAAACTGTAACACGGTAATGTGGCAGTACTACCCTGGACGAACTCACAAGGAGCTCTACTGCTACTAGTGATTTTTGAATATGATTTTCGGAACGAAAATGGCTCAAATGCTAATCCGTCAGTGGCAGCGTGTTGTCTTTGCAAATGCAGATTCAACAATAAATGCGGCGTTAATATTTCGACGCGGGAGTAGAATTTTTAAACTGAAAGAACAAAATGAAAGGGACCTTTATGAATCAGTGCTATTCGAGCTTTAATTGCACAATTTCATCTTCACCACAGTGTGACTAATGTAACAAAATATTTTTTTAAGATGGTTTTACGGTATAAACTCATTTTTTAATTTTTTGATTTGGGTCGCTTTCATTGTAAGGGTGCGAAGTATTAGTCGGATAATTGCGTCATATTGCGTCATGCGTTAGAAGAAACATACCGACGCCGCCATGCGTTAGAACAGTACCGACGGATAGAAAGAGACAAATTTCATTCATTAAAATACAATAGATGAATGCGTATGGTAAAAAGAAACAGAGATAACTTTAAATATGTGTTTTTTAGAGGACATTAGTTTTATTAATGGATATTAAATGGAAATTTGTGTATTTTGTATGTTTGAAGATATGAAGTTAACGAAACCATATTACGTTATTATGTACTAAGTTTTAAATAATAGTTTTATTATGAACTAGTGTATTTTGGCAAAGTAATCGATAATATTTATTTTTCATTAAATGTTCACACGCATATTACATGAATAAAATAATAATAAATTTAGTAAATTATAAATAGTAATAAGAATATGGCATTAAGTACTTTATCATTTACAATAACATGCCTGAATTTCACAATTTTTTCAAGTTACGTAATTTGGTTGTATTATGATACTCAATAGAGATGTGATGTGACTATTTATTTTCGTTAAATGACATCAGCTGATCGAAACTGTTCATGGCGAAATTTCCATAAATAACGTAGTTTGTACTAAAACAACTTTGCTAAATAGTTTCATACCATTAACTGAATCCGACCTTCAAATATGACTACACCTTGCTGTTACACCCTGTATACTACACGTTCAATACAGAAACTTTCATTGTATTTTAACCAGCCCTTTTTAAAAAAATCTTAATTTTCTCTTTTAAATCAGTACAAAAACAAAAATTATAACTGCATATTATATAGGTCATAACTAATGTAAATGTGACATTTAAAACTTGTTTCATGAATAGAACTAAAGGGCACAATTGTGTTCAGTGTGTTTTTTTTTTGTTATTATATTGTAATTGAACTACACGTACTAAGGACATAGTTTCTTACACTACTAAGTAAAATCCTTTGATATTACTGTTTTTTAACGTAATAAAAGTCAAATAAGACTTTTTATAGTAAAAAAATCTGATTATTGAAGTCAGTATTGTTGAGATATATTTCCACAAACAAAAATAAAAGTTAGATTGGCCTTTATTTCCTCAATTTCGATAAAAACGTTAGTTGTGCCCTTTTTCGTTCCGAGGGCAGAATTAGTGAACTATACTTCGTCCAACCATTTATTTAACTTTTGACATATGCATGACTCCGAAGCTCCGTAATGATTAACTTACAACCATAGACCAAAAATGCAATACTTCCTGGACTCTTTTGTTTTTTTAATTTTAGTGAAGCGACGTGCTTTTTAGCTCCGATATTTGTCAAGCCAACAGATTATGTAACGAAGATTATTCAAGTTGATAAATTTTGGTACCTGTCTAATAAATTATAATGAAATGAAATAATTGTTATTGTTTATTGTAATGAATCGTCGGATTCTTCTCCATATGAACTAGGAATCATAACTTGAATCCTCATTAACATTAATTATTAATTCTTGAGTGCACAAATTGTTAAACGCAACGTCACTATCACTATCAGACAATATCTTCTTTTTTGAACCCGCTTACATTCACGATTTTAATTTCTTCATATATGAAATAGCTCGTTATAAAAAAAATCGAATGAGAAACGCATTAGGACGTCACTTCAGATCAGAATTCGAGCTGTCAAAAGTTAAATGGTTGGACGGTGTATAAGGACATAGTTTCGTATATTTGCTAAGTAAAATCCTTTGATATTGAGATATATTTCCACGAAAAATAGTTAGATTGGTTTTTATTTTCTGATCGTTCGAAAATGGTCGCCTTACTTTCTCAAACTCGTATCTTATATCACAAAGTTACTAAAATGCAAAAAATGGATTGTATGTACAAATCGACTGTGAACCGGCAATCGGTTAATAAACCAGATGCTATATAAATGACACAAACAATTTGTCAATTGGTCAAAATTGAGATAGTACAAGTTCACAGTCGAAATGTTGCAGGCTGATTTCACATCACATTGCCTTCACACGTCGGCTTTTATCTATTCTTAAAGCACTTAGTGCATCCAAATTGATAAGGAATTTAAAATAAATAGAAAGTTTTGCCATCTCCTGAATAAGGTACGAGTTTGAGAAAGTAAGGCATCGAAATGTTAGTCGTGCCCTTGTTCGTTCCGAGGGCAGAATTAGTGAAGTAAAATTTACCGAGATTACGAACGTCTCGGGACGCTTCGCCACGGCGAGGCCCGCACCGCAACCAGTCGCGATCGCAGGGCCGCGGCGACGTCGTCGGGCGTGCTGCACGCGCGGCTGGACGCGTGCTACGAGCAGTGGCGTCAGCTGGAGCGCGAGCGCAAGCGCACCGAAGCGCGGCTGGCACTGGCCTACCCCGGGCGCGCCGTGTCCTCGTCCAACTCCATCCCCGTGCCGCGCCTGCCGCCCTGCCCCACCCGCGTCGACCGCCTCACCGTTGACATGCTGCGCGAGCACACCAAGGTTAAAGCCTCTTCCGACGTCGAAACTCAATACGGTTACCATGCCGGACTGCCACGCAGAGACCCTAGAGGAATATTTGTATGGCCTACATTTATTTCTCTCGTGAGTTTGGGTGTAATTTGAGGTTGTCGTATATGTATGTCCATGGCACCCGCGACACAGGGTTTCCCTAGTGCGGGCCTATGTTGAGTATGTGCGTTATTATTATTATTATCGAATAAAATTATATAGTTGTTGTTTATGATGTTAGTAACATTCTGCGAGGATGTTAGTATTTTACAAATAACCCTCTATAGTTTTTCGTTGCATTAAATACAATTTCGGTGGCTTAGCAGTTAGCACTTTAGGTGTTAGGTGAGTTCCGGATAGTGCCTTCGCGTTAATATACTCAGATATCCATAATGAGCTATCCTATTTTGCTCAACGTATCCCCGCACTAGGGAAACCCTGTGTAGCTGGTGCCATGAACACACACATAGACAACCACAAATTACATCCAAGACCTCACATGTTTTCTGAGGGTCATGAACTCTTCTTCAACGTGAAGGTATCATCACGATGTTTTAGAAACTTATATCTAACATCGTAGCTTATCAGTTTCTCGCTCATTCAGTACGATCCAAAATTAGGACGTCGGAAAAACTGGTAATTTTCGGCATAAGAGCTTGACTAAATGCTAAATTTTCAATGGACTCTGAATTGCGAGACCCTTGAGAGAATAATGAATTCCCTATAATAAAAAGTTTTACCCTCATATTTGCCATATTTCTTAAAAATAACATAGAGTTCAATAGTGAAGTAGTTTAGTCACATGGAGCTGATAATAATAATAATAACGCACACACTCAACATAGCCCTGCATTAGGGAAACCCTGTGTAACGGGTGCCATGGAGACACATAGCCAACCACAAATTACACCCAAACTCACGAGATAAATAAATGTAGGCCTTGCAAATATTTCTCTCGGCCCGGGAATCGAACCTAGGACCTCAGTGTGGCAGTCCGGTATGGTAACCGTCCGGCCACGGAGGCAGTTTTTTTAACAAAAGTTGTAGTTTATGATGTTATTAATACTCTCCTGTGAGATTTTTAGTATTTGAGAAATAAGCCTGTATACAATTCGACTCCTCCTACGTAAAGGTATCGTATGTCGAAATTGCCAAGTTTACAGGGAAGTGTTATAAAGTTTTCCGTTTCATTCGGCAAAGCTCGTTGCTCACATAGAGTGATCATCTAATAGATCATCTTACCGATATCTAGAATTTTATAACACTCTATGTGAGTAACGACCTTTGCCGAATATAACTGAGAAACGCTAAAGTTACGTATTATGCTTATTTCAGTGAATTCAGAACTTTAAAAGGCTCCACTGTAAACTTGGCAATTTCGACATACGATACTTTACGCGGGAGGGGTCGAATTATTTAAATCGAAATTTTTACCACCTTCACTTTTCAGGTACTGACACTTATGGGTAAAATGGAGACACTCCGCGCGAGCGTCTGCGTAGCTCAAAACAAGAAGCCAAATAAACTCGAGGATACCAAAATAACAGTGCTCAAACGAGGACAGGAGAACGTGTCCAATGACAAGGAGAAAGACAAAGATGGGATGGACCCAGCCACTTTCGATCCCACTACGTGGAGAGATGATGTCAAGAATTTGGCTGAGATGTGAGTGAATTTGTATACTTACTAAATAACTTTTCATACCGAATGTGTATAGTCGAATTATTTAAAAGGCGCCAGTTTTGTTCACATTGAATTATGAGTGAGTGATTTTTAAGCTTCTTTTTTATTTTTTCCTTAATAACTGTCTATTAATTCTTCTTCTTCTTTTAAATGCTATGGCTCCATCGAAATAATCGATGATTTCGCCGATGTCAAGGAAAAATGACTATGTACGGTGGTTTTGTAAAAATATGACTTTTATAATGTTACAACCCCATCGATACTATCAATAAATCCGCCAATGCCAAGTTTGTAACTGTCTGTCCGTACAAAACTTCTTAAAAATTTTGTGGCGCCATCTTTTGGCACAATTATGGACTATGCTATAATTGAGAGCTGTCATCAAAGAGTACCTTATTCATCATAACGAGGTATAGAGTCATCAGCTCATATCACCACTGGTGGCGAATGCGGGAAGTATTTTTGCCCTGTACGTACACATCTAAAAGTTCATTCTTTTTCTTGGGTGCCT